TGTTCCTTAAGCTCAAGGTTTTCCTGCTGGATGTTTAAGCTACTTTGTTGTGACTTATTTAGCTGATCTACTAAATCTTCTACTTTATCTTCAAGCTTCTGCTTGGTTAAATGCAAATCACTGAGGCTCTGTGCACTCTGAGTTAACTTCTCCTTCTGCACATGCAACTCTTTGGATAGGTTCATTTTATCATCCTCAAGTTGATGAACTCTCTTTTTTTCATCATCTAGATCTTGTTTCAATTTCTGGATGACAAGGTCTCCTTCGTTTTCTTGTTTTGATAGCTCATCTTTTATCAAAACCATGCGCTTTGTAGCTTCCTGATTCTGATGGTCCAGTTCTTCTAACTCAGCTATCAGCATTTTCTTTTCATGGATACTCTGATTCAGTTCTTCCTCCTTTGCCTTCAAGTGAAGTTTTAAGTCATGTAATTGAACATTCACATTCATGTCTGCTGAAGCTGTGTTTTTAACTACTTGAGAGTCACAGCTCAATTTTGACAGTGTTATCTGAAGTTCCTCCTTTTCTTGACTCAAGGATGACTTCTCTTTCTCTAAAGCTTCCACATGCATTTTAAGTTTCAGATTGTCTTCAGCAAGACTCTGATCCTGGTTTAAACCATTTAGTCTCATTACTTCCTTTTCAGCATCAGACAGGGCTCGTTGTAGCCTCAACACTTCTTCCACTGATGAAGAATTTTGTGGAAGGATTGTTCCCTTTTCTGCCACAGTAGCACTCTGCTCCAAAACTGACACTTCATGCTGATGATCATCTATGTCTGAACTTGGGTTTCGTTCAAGAGTCTGGATAGTATTTTGCAGTTTGCTGATTTCACTGGGGTCAGAATTCCGTGTTCCCTGAGCCTCAGCAATATGCCTCGAATGGCCAACTTCAGATTCAAGTCTTGAAACTTCAATTGACAATCTGGTTATTTCCTGGTGGGATGAAATTAGGTCATTAAAGTCCATGTCATCATCAGGAAAGGCTGAAAAATCACTACTGATCCGGGAACCAAATGGAGCCAGTGCAGTGGTTGTTGGTACACCACAAGCTCCTGAACCTACCCATTGAGCAGCTGCCTGGAGGTTGAACACTTGATCTTGCAGTGCCATCTGTCTTGCTTTCAGATGGCTGATCTCTACCTCCTTCTGTTGCAGTTGATTTCTGTAACTTGGACACTGATGCTTTATTTGCAGCTCTGATGCTTCATGTTTTTCCTCCAGATCAGTACAATACTTTTGAAGTCTTTCATTCTCCGATCTTAGTGGAGCATCAGTAGCTTCCATTTCCTTTCTCCGACAATCAGGTAAACCTGCTTCTATGTCTCCTATGCCATCCAGAAGCATTTCCCTGGTGAAACTGGATATACGGTCGGTGAGGGACGGCAAGTTGCTCCCCACCTGACCTAAGAAGTTGCCCAAGCCTGAGCCCAGGCCTCCAAACCAGGACGACATCGCCGCCACTTTAGTGAGCCATCGGATCAGCTCTGAAAACCGCGTCCAGCACCATCCACTTCTCTCCCCAGAACGTCCTCAAGCGTTGCTGGGGTCAATTATGACTCAAGAAAGAGCTCAGAATTCTGAGAAGCGCGGGGCTCCGCCAACACCACCTGTCTTGTTCTGCCTGTAAAAGCAGAGGCCTGTCCTGGTCTTTGACCAGGGACTGGCAGCCAGTGGCACAGTCACCCCTCACGCCCCTCCCTCCCAGGGGCCTCTGCTTCTTCCCTGGACTTTCCTATCAGCTATTGGCTCCCAGGATTGGGGAGGGCTGACTGGGAGGAGCTAGAGGTACAGGAAAGTGTTCTAGTTTGAGTCCAAAGGCAGTGTGCTCTGGAACCACGAAGAATCAATGTTGTAGATGAAATCCAAAAGTAGTTCACTAAAGAGTTCCCTCTT